AACTTTTTTCAGTCTGTCTCCTTGCCAAAGTACTGAGAGGTATATGTTGCAAGCGCACATGTGTAGGAAGAATTCAGCTGTTTCATGGGAACACAGGAGAGCTCAAAATTGGATCTAATAATGGCTCCACTACAGCTCTGCTAGGTATTAGCAGGAAGCAAAAGGAAGGACTGAAAGAAATTCCTAGCAGATGACCTTTTATTGCAGAATATCTTTTCACATCTAATCCAAAATAGAATGTCTAACAAAGATTGGTAATGACTTCTCCTCCTTTTTGATGAGGATAATTTATGCATTGTAAATTATTTTTAGCATTTTAATTATCTTTGTTTATATATTGTAGTTAAGTTATGGGTTCTTAAATTTGGGGCCAGAATGTTAGGTTTCTGTTCAAAGGAGTATGCCGAAGAGTCATTTGTAAACGTTTGAATAACAACACCATCAATCCTTACCATCATTCTCTGTCTCCTTTTGTCTTTCTTATCTCAGTAAACCATATACTCATTCATCAAGCAATCTTTCTGGCCAGAATATCAGTTGCCCACTTTGGGTTTTCCCTCTGCCTTCTTCACACACCATCAAGTATCTTGAATCTTATCCCATCGTCATACTATCAGTCACTCCTTGAATCAGGGCCACCAATTTTATTACGTGAATTGATAGAACAGCCTCACCATCTCCACTTGTGAAGTCTCTAGTTGAAAGGTAGGCAGCAGGCACTCTTCACTTAATTCCTCTAAGATTAATTTAACTTTACCTCACTGCTCTTTAGGAAAATCCCAAACCACTCAAAATGTTTTCTTATGCAATCCTGATCAGATCCTTAACCACTTCCCCAGATCATTTTTGGACTGATGTCTAGAAGTTTTCCTTTGGGCTCCTATGCTCCAGTCTAACTGATGCTGGCCTTTCTGTCTCGGTTTGCTCTGTGTATACTAGAATCTTCCTTCTTCTCCCCTTGTGCTAGACTTACTATTTGTTTGTTGGGTAACAGCTGAGATGCCACATTATCTTCAGAACGACCTTCTCTGATCTTCTAAGACTGGGTGGACTCCCTCTACAGGCTCTGCAGTATTCTATTCTCACCTCTATAGTAGGTAGTATTGCCTGTCTGCCATAGATTCTCTGTGTGGGCCGAGGTCGTGGGATAGTCAGTGACTTGAATAATTAGATCAAGGATGTTGATCTAACCCAATGGGGATTAAATTCACTTTCTTGGAAGTTTAAATAAAAGGCAAGAAAACAAGTGCCAGTTGGTAGTTGGTGCTGTGGCTAAGAGCAGTGGTGTACAATTCAGGCTGATGATCATTTACAATGTTAATGAGCAAAGAAAGCTGTTAGCAAGTTAGAGAACTAAAGAAGTAGGCCCATGGTGGGAAAAATTCCCTGGCATTATTTACTGATACCCACGGTCCATTATTCAAGAGTCCTTAGATTTCCATAAGAATTGTGTATTCTTCAAACCCTGCTCCTACATTTAGTACTCCCCTTCAAACACATGCACACATGCACACATGCATGAAAAAGCTTGTGCTGATTACCATTTCACAAACAAGGCTCTTGCTTCTTTGAGTACAGGGCAGAGGTGTCCTCTAGCAAGCATATGCCACACTGTACTCTCTTTTTGGCTCCAAAACTGTAAGATCAAAGTTTGTGAATTTTCCATCCTTGCCTTCCTGGCACTAAATACAGTATCCAGCATGCATTACTCTGGTTCTAATGTTGAAAAAATAAGGGCAAGAATGAGTGAAGGAGCCTCCAGTATTTAATAATTCAGACTAATTTTAAAGGCTGATTTTTGTTCAATAAAAAATCAAATGGAGTTTTTTCTTTATAATAATTACAAGAAATTGTAATTTCTTACAGTTATTATAAAAGCATTCCCATCCATAAATATAAAAATCCAAGAGTGGGGGAAATGAAAAAAAAAGTGACAACAGAGTTTGATATGATTCTCCAAAAGGACTGATAGAATACAGTAAAAACATTCTGGAAAAGTATTTTTGCTCTTGCAAAAGGTAAGTTTTAAAATGAGCACAGACAGATTAGAAGTTTTTATGACTTGTCAGGACCGAAATGATTTAGTTCTGTTCTGAAAGAACAGTTGTACGACCCCTGTACACTATCTGTGTGTCTTGCAGGAGGGTTATTGGTCGATCATCTCAGTGAATTTTTTTACACATCTGCCTAAAAATTACAATTAGAGTGAGGCGAATGCTGACAAAAAACACATTAGCATTATTTTAGCTTCAAGGAAAAGTCTTGTTATCTAGTCATTAACTGGGCAATCTGCCTTCAGACTTCCTTCTGCTTTAATATAACAAAGAGAAACATGTCTTCTGAGAAAAATGTTTTCAAATACTTTACGCTTTGCTGCTCTACTGTGAAGTCCTAATTCCTATGAATTCAAGTATGCATTAATTCTCAAGAACTGCTATTAGCTATCCAGGGTCAAATGAATGTAAAAGGGGGAATAAAGGGGGCAAAGTTTAATTTCAAACCAATAAAGGATTTTGTTACGTTGTTTTGGCTGTTTGTGTTGGGTTTCTTTTTCTTCCTTGTTTGGTTATCTATAGAACAAACAGAAGTTGACATATAAAAAGTATTATCGATTTATTTTCAATCAAAGACTTCATTAATATCAATCTTTACATTTGTATTTCTGAGTTTTCTGTATCTTAAAGTATCTTGTCTCTGTCTTGTCTCTGTTGTTAATTAAAGAGGCTGTTGTTGCTATTTTAAGGGAGAGGAAGAGATGAAAGGAAAGAGCTAGAGTTCACTGACATTTTCTTGTTTGCATTCTTCCATGTCTTCAATTTGAAGAGCTCAAGGTAATGGGGTATCTCTTATTTCATTTTTAATACCTATCCAAGTGCTCTACCTATGTGTGTATATTTTCTACATCAGAAAATGTTATGACCCTGTAGTGTTACTTATTCTTCTCATTCTTTCTATAGGAACCACTGGAAGATGATCTTCAGTTGCTCTGTCTCACTGATAAAATTACTTTTCCACAAAAACAACTTTCAAACAGTATTTTCTCATCATTTGAGATCAACAAGATTCTGTAGGCTCCTATAAAACTGCATGATATTTGCCTCAGTCTCCATTTATGAAATTACATGAAGGTTGCTTGTACCCTCGTTTTCATTTCTGTCCAAAGGAGGATATAATACAATTTTTCTATTTGTAAGTTGATAGAAAAACATAATTTAAAACCTAGTACTACACTGTAACTACATGGCAAAAAGAGCTAATAATATAGAAAAAAAATATCATTAAGCTATAAAAGTTAGGGAATGTTTAAATCCAGCCAACTTGTTGGTAAAAGTTCTATAGGAAAAAATATTCTAACAGACTGATTCTGATTTTTTGTCTCAAAACAGAATGTCACGGTGTGTGTCTATGTTTGTTAGTTGCTGACTTAAACATTTATACTAAAAAATTAAACTTAGTTTCTGGATTTCTTCTTTATTAGTACTAGAAACTGTGATAAACTGTGATAAATGTACATGCTATGGAGTAAATTATATAATATTAATTTTATATTATCATTTTATAATATAAATCAAAAGCCAACATCATAATGAAAACTTGTGACTGTTGAAGCACATTCTGGGACAAATACATTGCACCCAATTTAGACAATTTCAGGTTTAAAATGCTATGCAAAACAGAAAGCAGAAAAGAAAAATAAATGAAGTTCTTAAAATGTTTAACACATATTTTCCTTGAATTTTCAGAATATGATGGGGTCAGTTCTGCATGATTCTGTGGAAGTGTATCTACCCACCCACCACCAATCACCAACACCAAGGAACAAATGCTTATCTGAATGGAAAGATTCTAGGCCACTGACTGAACAATATGACTAAGTAGACATGCCCACCCACTGTGAGTACCAGGTTACCCCACCCACACACTCACTCTTTCTATGAGGCTGTGGTAGTTGAAGAGTTAGGTTGACCTCTGACAGGTCTCTTAAATCTCAAAGGGATTTGTGATGCATCTTCCTTAGTCTCTGAACTGAAACAAACATCCAACTTATTTTACCAGAGAATTCTAAATTAGAATAAAGAAAGTTTAGAAGATAAACTCAGCTAATGTAGTGGTATTTCTGTACCTTTGCAGTATTTCATGCATGAATATCCCTTTGAAGAAATTATGGGGTAGGAAAGATGACTGTGGTTTGAGACAAAACTTGATATTCATGATTCCACCAGGCAAATGCCTCCCAGCCTTTTTCATGTTGTGGCACACAAAGAAAATTATTAATATAATATATATATAGTCCCTGGGGGACTTAGAAAGGAATGCCTATATGGCATTTAGTGGAAAAATAATAAAGCTACATTGTCTAAATATTATGTAAAAATAAAATATAAAGTATTGGGGTAAATAACAGTATTGAATTTTGTGCAAAGATTATATATTCCTCACTGGAGCCTTGAGGGCAGGACATCACTCACTGAACTTGCCAGCTGCAGAGCCTATAATACAAAGATTTTTCCAACATTTTCATAAGAAAATTAAGTTGTTTCTGTAACCATCACTTTTCTTTTAGATTTTATGCTTTCAATGACTATACACAATTCCTAACCAAGATGTTTTCATCATAATCTCCTCAAAATCTTGGTAACTTCCACTGATGAGAATTTCTTTTTTCAAACAGATGATCAGACATGTTAAAACTTGTCTTTTACAACCATTCAAATTTTACAACAGTGAAAACTGTCACTAGAAGTATTTTTGAACTTCCTGTGACAATGCAAAAATATTTCAAACCCAATCAGAAATGTAAAGTCAAACATTTTGAAATGATAAGGACAAGCATGCAGCGTTAAGTACGAGGATACGCTAAACGCAAACTTCAGCAGCCAGGGCTGGATGGAGCAGAGTGTAAACACGTGAGAAGACACATTCCGGCCACGCACTGGGGCTGAGCATCCCAGGAACCCTGCCCGGCCACCCCCAGCCCTCTTTCCCACCACTGGCCGCACCTTGGGCTGCAATCTGGGCTCCTTGGGCACCTGGACCACGAACTCCTCGGGTAGCTCCACGGGGCCCTTGTCCGCGATGAGCAGGCGCGCGCTCTGCAGCTGGCTGCTGAAGGAGATGTCTGGGCGGTAGAGCGCCTCCTGGGCTGCGCTCAGCATGTCGCAGGGGAGCAGCGAGGGCTGGATGTCGCTCACTGTGCTTGCCACCTGCGGGGACCGCAGGGCGCACCATCAGACTCCGGTCAGCTCAAGCCAGCCTCAGAGGAGCCCTTCCTGAGGCTATTCTTGAAGCTGCTCTCTGCTGCAGGCCTTAGACCCTGGACTCCAGCCACCCCAGGCCCCACTCGGACAACCCCAGAGATGGGGAGACTGTACCTCCTGGCCCCCAGTGCCATCCTGACTGTGTAGGTCTGTGCTTGTCGAACACAAATCTTAAGTAAGCCAAAAACCTCGTCCTAATCCCTAACAATGATTAGAAAATTAGCCATAATTGTTGAAAGCAGAGAAAGCTACCGGAAAGAAATATTATTCATACTTTTACAGATTTTAACAACATTCTAATGTAAATCATGGGCACTAATTTCCATTAGGATAAATAAGAATATTGGTTATTGAACTAAATATTTACAACATAAAGCTTGATAAGGTAATGGGTGAAGAAAGGTTCAGAGAGGTTTTTTTTGTTTTGATTTGTTTTGTTTGTTATAGTGTTACACTTACATGGATTGTTTTTTATTTTTATGTTTCAGGTCATTTAACACTTTTTGAAAAAATACTCCATTAAGATCTGTGAGGTGAAAAAAGATATACATACATTTTTGCCATTTATATACACAGTGATTTTACTGACAAATGATACATATTACATAAATGAACAAATATGGAAGACCAAGACAATAATGAAAAAATAAAATTGCACACAAATGATTTTTCTTTTAATAATTCACAAAACAGTCATACATTATATTCTATGAAAAACAGAGCTTTTAAGTACAGGCTTTTTTTCTGGTGCACTGGTGATGAGATACATATTTCTCTACACCAATTGTAACAAGTGAAATAAATAGGAATGATGATGAAAATGTTCCTACTAACAGGAAGAAAAAGACTACAAGGACAAAGATTTTTCTTTACACAATTATTTTAACATACTATAATATGCATATTTAAAAACATTAATAATGATGTATGGCTACCATTCAACAGTCAGGAGAGAAACTAGAAAATTCAATAATTCTAGAGAATTTTATGTTCATCCTTTTTTTTAAATTAAGGTATCACTGATATACACACTTATGAAGGTTTCACATGAAAAACAACATATTATCAAGTCCAGCCGATACCCCACTGCAGTCACTGTCCATCAGTGTAGTAAGATGCCACAGAGTCACTACTTGTGTTCTCTGTGCTACACTGTTTTCCCCATGACCCCCTCCATACCATGTGTGCCAATCATAATACCCCTCAATCCCCTTCTCCTTCACTCCCCACCCACTCTCCCCCACTCCTCCCCTTTGGTGACCGCTAGTCCCTTCTTGGAGTTTGAGAGTCCGCTGCTGTTTTATTATGATCATCTTTCTAATACTTGAATTTTATACAGTGGCACTACAATTTCTTGATATATAAAATATTTGCAAATTAAGAATGAAAAATAAGGTATCTTCTAAATCACAACACCTATAGAAAACAAAAATGGTATTACGAGATCTGTCAAACATTCCATCTATGGTGAAAAGTTTAGAATATAACTCTAAGGCATTCTGAACCATTTTTATTTAAACCCTTTGCAATATGTGAGTGCTGAACTATCTATGCAAAAGGAAATCCAAATGCTACTTTGATATTTTGTGTGATAAAAAAAGTGACAAAGAAGGAAACAAGTCCTAAAACCAAAAAAAGTTGTGAAAATCAAAATCTCTAAGTAAATTGCCTCTTTTTTGTTTAACTCTAGTGACATCCTTTCTGATCTTTTGACTTCTAAAACATCCTTCTCCTTATTGTCTAAAATGACAATGTGCCTAACTTTTTTTTTTTTTTCACATGAATACATACAGGCACTTTTCCCTAACATTTTTATAACTCCTCTATGGAAGGACATAAGCAAAAGTTTATAAAGCTATGTTATCCTACAAGTTTCAGTGAAAACAGAGATGAAGGATTTCACACTTAGCCAATTTAACACAAGCACATTTGGAGTGACTGAGCGTGCACTTAATTGTTCATTCATTCGACAAATATTTACTGAGTCCCCATCATGTATCCAGTCCTTCTCCAGGTGCTGGAGATTTCGGTAAACAAAACAGGTTGTCTAGTCTAATGAATCATCCATTCTGGTGTGAGAGACAAAATAGACAAATAGTGTATTTTTGAATTCCATATAGCCCTGAGTAATCTACAGAAAGTTAAAATAGGGTAATATGTAAAGGCTACTCTGTTTCAGATTTTATTGAAGATTTATCTAAGGGAGTAAAATTTGAACTGAAATCTCAATGAGATTTAAGTTGCTAATCATACAAAAATCAGGGTCAAAGATTATTTTAGGCTTCTGCAAAGGTCTCAGGCTGGAACCACCTTGGTTTGTTCCAGAAATAGCTCATGGACGGTAAAGCTATGTGCAGAAGTCTGGAAGAAGAATGATCTGGAATGAGATCAGAGAGGTAAGCAACAGCCAGATCATGATCTTTCTAACCAGGATAAGGAGTTTTTTTGGGGGAAACCTAGTATGTTCTTAGGATACTGAATAAAGCCCCTGGGAAAGAGGAATAGGGCAGGATAGGGAAAAAGACATGAGACTAGTAATCTCTACCACACTAGAGATCAATTATTTCAGAAGAGGTCAGTTATTAGAGTGGCAGAGAATGATGATTTAAAATGCATATAGAGTGGAATCACCAACAACTGAAAAATATATAGTGTTTGTTTTAAATGAAAGAATGTCATCTTAAACAAGAAATAACTTTGAACAAATTCAAGTTCAAACTCAAACTAGAAGGCACGATGTAGGAACATAGAAAGGTTAGGATTGGATTAGAGAGTAAAATGATTTCATGGAGCAACACAGAAAACACAAAATACCAGGAAGCTAAGTACACTCTGACTCTTAAATGGAAGGAAATTAGGCTCTGCTATGCTCTATGAAGCTGATTACCTTATGTGTATGTAGATCAGACCCTCCTTTTACAGATCTCTGTACAAGAAATCCAAACTCACTGATGGATGACAGAGAGGGTGCAGGGACTGCTGCACTGCCTACAGGAGGAGGACTATTAGAACAGAGCCAAATCTTAACTTCTGTTTTAAAAAATATTGTACACGTTAAAGTTAAGATATTATATGACATCTGGGGAAATATTTATTTGGGTTATAAATACAAATCTAATTTGTCTTCCTGAAGCTATTATAAAAATAAGTCTTCAAGGTAAGTATCACAGTTAGAAGGCTGGTATTCCATTAGAAGTCTGGAATCTCAAGTCTGGGAAGACTCATTCAACTTGCATGCATGATAATAACCCTAAGCACATCCCTGCTAAAAATCTTCCAAGTTTCATGTGAACAGGCAGTGATCAGAAACTCACTCTGTCCTTGGGGCACCCAATTCCACTTGAAGCACCAAATTTTTACTCATGCCCGGGAAAGTGATGATGTCTATTCCCTAGCATTCTCTACCCATCTGTCTAAATTCTATCCAAATGGACTATGTACAATATTAACAAACTATTCCTAAAAGGTACTTCAGATATTTGAAAATAGCCTTCACATTCTTTTCTTCTCCAATTTCCTGAGGGGAAATGTTTCTTTCAAACTAACTGTCAAAGATACCCCAGCATGTTGAGGCATTAACTATAATTGAGGCACCCACCCTTATAGTCACTGCCCATCACAACTTGGGACCACATTTTCCAACTCTGTTATAGGTACTTCTAAAACTTCAAAGGTAATTTTGGTTCTAGAGCACGAAATAATGATAAGGTCAACCCAACTTCTTTCTAAGCTTCTCCAGAAAGACAGAAAATTTATTCTTATTTCCTTTAAAAAGATACCTGAATAAGACTTCTTTTAAGGATACACGGTGTTTTTTAAAGTTTGAGCTGCTTTAGTCAAAGATAATATCTAATCTTGATAATATGAGTTATTGCCATATCCAAATTGCCCACATAATCACTTCACATTCAGATATTCTTACTATTTAAACTGTCTGATTTTGTTTTCCTTGTGAGCAAACATGAAATATGAAAATTAATATTTCACAATCTACTGAAATGATCAAAATATTTTCTCCATCTTTATGTATAGTCTCCAAATATCAAAGGCCATCAGATTTCTTGAATATTGGTCGACTTTGAGACAAGAATTAAGAAAAGGAAAAATAATGAGCATGTAAGAGGTAAAGCATGTGTGATGGTAGTACCGGTTTTCATCTGTGGAGCTTATAATTGAAATAACTATCAAAAATATCATATTTCAATGGTATATACTCCCAGAGATCAGTACTGACTTATAAAATATAAAATACTAAATAGGCATTGTTTCTAACTAAATCAACTCTTTCTGCTTTCTTGTTTACCTTACATGAGTGGCTATGTAATTTAGTCAATTACTCAGCTTTTTCCTCCAAACATGTATTGATCATAACAGTGAGCCTGGAATCTAGACAAAACAGTGAATTGCTGTATTTCTAGGTAAAGGTATTGCTAAGGTAGACAATGCCACCAGAGCATATTTACCAGAGTTACAGTGATTTAACTTCCATATTCTAAGGATGTTTCTCTCAAACCATGCATTTTTGTGTTTTGGGGTAATATTTTACCATATCTTTTGAACAACCAGTGAATTGTGAACCTTATAAAGTTTAAAACACACTATAATTACATCTATGATCCCAATGTCCACATTCATATTGCCTCTATTATCTCTTAGATACAAAATTTATTACCCTCTTGTACATACATGCCCAATCCTTGTGTTCAAGTTACCTGTCCTCATAGAAACTGTTTTCCTTATTGTTAAGGCTTTCCAAATATCACTCCAAGTATCACTTTTCCCACCATTTTCCTAAACTATGCATATAATCAGCTGTGTATATAATCAGCTCCAAATTTCACACTGTCCCTTCCACTCTGTACTAAAATTGAAAAATTTAAATCTACTTTAATTAAAATTTAAAGCTAACAATTGAAAATATGTTTTAATTTCCACATTTTAAGCAA